CCCCAAAACCCCAAAACCCCAAAACCCCTAGCTGCAAAATCAGTAATAAATTCTAAATTTATTAGATTAAAATAAAAATGCAAAATAATCAAACGGCGATCAAGGTAATCTCACTATTTTCTTATTCAGATTCAATAGGTTAAAGCCTACAAGAAAAAACTTAAGAGACATAAGGATGCCGTACTTACCATTCATTCACCAAAGGGATTTGAAGGTGGGTTGCTTGTATCAGGCTCAGCAGACCATTCAATTAGAAGTATTATCACATTCATTCTTAAATATTTCGTAATAGTTTGGGATCTCTTGAAGAAAAAGATTTCAAGCAAAATCAATGTATTGAGACCAGATGAAGAGTTCTTGTTTAAATTCAAAGATCAGCCAGTACCTAATTACTCTGAAGACCATATTTTGAATAATGTACTATAATCATAGCCATTTTAAAATACTAATAGCCAAAAGCGTTGTAAAAGTAGTAGACGTAGAAGAGTGTATGTTGCTTTTGCTTTAATGGCCCTAAAATTTTCACAGGCTATGAGGATGGATTGATTTGCTCTTGGGATATTGACTCAGGGTAGTTAAACAATCCTCTGATTGGTCACACTAATAAAATCAATCATATTACCTCTACTGATAACGATTTCATATTCTCAGCAGCCAATGATTGCACTGTTAGACAGTGGAATGTCAAGAGTGGTACTTGTGAGTCAGTTTTTAAATTCGCTGATCCAGTCTCAGTTGTTTAAATTTCCTATTCGTTCAATATGATGTTTACTGCTTCATGGGATAAAATGGTGAGAGTTGTTGATCTAGAGGCTAACAAAGTTACTAAGATTTTTGTTGCATCTAAGGAAGCAATTAAAGCAATGATTGTTACAGACAAATATGTTTTTGTTGCAGGCTGTGATCCTATCATTAGAGGATTCTCACTTGAAACCGGTGAGTGTAAAATGTACTAAGGTCATTAAGGATGGATATACTGCCTTGAAGTTAACGAGGGTAAACTATTCAGCGGTGGAGATGACAAAACCATTAAAATCTGGGACATTGAAAGCACCAAAATGCTTGAAGAACTAAATGGCCATGAGAATGGTGTGACTTGTTTAGCCTTTGCAAACCAAGAGTTGTTTTCAGGTTCATTCGATCACTATATAATCTGCTGGGACATGCTTGAAATTGAGAAGAGGATTCATGAGAGAGAACTCATGAGGCAGGAAGACATTAGAAGCAGGAAAATAGAAGTGTTTTGGAGGATTATAGAAGCCAAAAGGGGAAAGAAAAAGAAGAAGGGCAAGGGCGGCGGGAAAAAGAAGAAGGGGAAGAAGTGACCACTCTAAATAAGCAAGCACCTCAAAGTATTTTGTATTGTAAAAAATATTTTAGTTTTTAATTTAAGCTATTCTTTTCAGACTAATGCATTCAAATATAGCACAATGGGGTTTTGGGGTTTTGGGGTTTTGGGG